ATATATATATATATATATATATATACACATATATATATATATATATATATATATATATATATATATATATATATATATATATATATATATATATATATATATATATATATATATATATATATATATTTCTATATATATATATATATATCTATATATATAGACACATACATATATATATATATATATATATATATATATATATATATATATATATATATATATATATATATATATATATATATATATATATATATATATATATATATATATATATATATATATATATATATATATATATATATATATATATATATATATATATATATATATATATATATATATATATATATATATATATATATATATATATATATATATATATATATAGGCCACTTTATTAGGTACACCTAAATAGTACTGTGTTGGACCCCCTTTTGCTTTCAGAACTGCCTTAATCCTTCATGACAGATTTAACAAGGTACTGGAAATATTACTGGTCCATTTTGGTCTATATTCACACAGTTGATGCACTACATCCCAAAGGTGCTCTATTGGATCGAGATATGGTTATTGTGGAGGCCGTTTGAGTACAGTATCATTGTCATCGTCATGTTTAAGAAACTAGTCTGAGATGATTTGCAGTACATGACATGGTGCGTTATCCCTGCTGGATGTAGCCCTGCTCAAAGTAGCCACCAGAAGATGGGTACACTGTGGTCATAAAGAGATGGACATGGTCATCAACAATACTTAGGTAGGCTGTGGCGTTGACACGATGCTCAATTGGTACTAATGCGCCCATAGTATGCCAAGAAAATATCCCCAACACCATTACACCACCATGCTTTCATGTTGTTGATGCCAAAATCTGACCCTACTATCCAAATGTTGCAGCAGAATTCAAGAATCATCAGACCAGGCAACGTTTTTCCAATCTTGTCTGTTGTCCAATTTTGGTGAGCCTTTGCGAATTGTAGCATCAGTTTCCTCTTCTTAGCTGACAGGAGTGGCACCTGGTGTGGTCTTCTGCTGCTGTAGCCCATCTGCCTTAATGTTGGATGTGTTTTGCGTGCAGAGATGCTCTTCTGCATACTGCGGTTGTAACAAATGGTTATTTGAGTTACTGTTGCCTTTCTATCAGCTGGAACCATTCTAGCCATTCTCCTTTGATCTCTGGCATCAACAAGTAAGACCTAGAGATGGTTGTGCAGGAAAATCCCAGTAGATCAGCAGTTTCGGAAAAACTCAGAACACCTCGTCTGGTATTAACAACCATGCCACGTACAAAGTCACTTAAATCACACTCTTTCCCCATTCTGATGCTCGGTTTGAACTGCAGCAGATCGTCTTGACGATGTCTACATGCCCAAATCCATTGAGTTGCTGCCATGTGATTAGCCAATTAGAAAGGACTGTTAACGAGCAGTTGGACAGGGTTTACCTAATAAAGTGGCCGTTGAGTTTATATGCAGTGTGAATTTATTTAATCAGAAATATACACAAAAAACTATTATTTTGATAAAATTTTTAAATTTCAATTATGTAAATATATGTTAAGCTCCCTAAGGACATTTTTGGGCAAAATTTAAGTTCAAGACTTGGTTACTTTTTAAGTTAGCCACGTGGACACAAACAAAAAACAAGACTTGATTCAACAATGTAAAAAAAAACTTCTTAATCTTCCCCTTTGCCAATAAATGGGCACCTATAAGAAATGAAAGGTATATACTAAAGCAATTTATTGAATTTGTCCAACAAAAATAACTTCAACACAATGCCAATCAGTCATATACCTAAATAAGGGTCTGAGTCTATGCAGCATGCTCAATGTGCCAAACACTCACACTAACACACACAAACAGCCCTACAGTCAAATAGAGGATGTTTTGATAAGTCCCCACATTTATAGGTTTTGGATAGTCTGAACTGACTGCACTGAAATTTTTGCAGAAAAATAAAAATTACATATGACAGAAAATTGAATTATAAAAAAAAGTTAACTTTCTCTTAGCTGAGTGGGGTTAAGATTAAATTTGAAACATCAGCAAATAGACTTGGATTTCAACTTTACAAACAAATCTCTAAGATGTGTACTGTTAGAGGTATTTAAATGAAAAAAAAAGTAAAAAAAAAAGCATAAATTGATAAATTTTATTTTTTCAAAGACAGTGAAAAGACATTTGTTTTAAAAAAATGTCATGTAAAAAATTAAAGGCTGCAGTACTGTATGAGGTATCCTTGAGGGTTAAAATGCATTTATTCCAGAGATGCAAATTTATCTTTAAATATAATTTATTCTTGTTATGAAAAGTATATTCAAAAAGTAATAAAAACATTTATTATAATATTATTTTTTAAAATTATATAAAAAAAATATTTACTGTAGGCAGCGTTTATAAATAAGCAGTCTCCACATATAATTTTCCATTATAAGCCCAAAAAGACTAGAGTAAAATTGTACTGTAGTGCTAATTTCTTTTCAAACCAAACGTTTTAACAATTATATACTTTATATAAATATTAAACCTCAATTATTTGCCTTAACATCTCAGCAAAAGGAGTTCAATGTCTTCCAGCAGTCCATTTGTTCTCAAAGTTGCCCATTTCTTAGTCTGGCAAGAGTAAATGCTGAGATTGGGAGTTGGAGATTGAAAGACTGTCCAATGGGATTGGATTCTATCAGCGTTTCTGAGCTCTGGCCTGTTCCTGCTGTTCTGTTGCCATCAGCAAACTCAACACACGGTGCCTGCCATGCTTTTGACATCTCAATTTAACATAATCCACAAAGCCAAAGCTCACATCTGAAATGCATGACCTCTGCTGATGGGAATCATGAGGAATTTAACAATTTGGGCTCGACCAGCAAAGCTTTGTGCTTGGCCATGTATAATACATCAAAATTTAACAAGACTGCTATATTTATGACCTGAAACAATGCAATATATGTACATTCATAATAATAGATTTGTGTGAAAGTAAAATATGAGGCGGATGGTAGCACATTTGATTATTGGGGTAAAAAGAAAATTTACTAATAATGAAAATACTTTTCAAGTTAATTGATTACATTAAGCATTGCAATATTTAGATGTATATGTATTTTACATGTATTGCAATGTGTATATTGTTGCAGAATATATATTTCTAAAAATGTTAACACATACTAATACGTAACTAATACATGCTCATTTGCATGCATTTCTTGTCAGGTTTAATGAATTATAAATGTGTTATTATTGTATTGTATTAAATTGTATACTACTACTACTACTACTACTACTACTAAGAAGAAGAAGAAGAAGAAGAAGAAGAAGAAGAAGAAGAAGAATATTAGAACAATACTATTATTAATAATACATACAATAATAATATCAATAATAAATATATTAATATTAATATTATTATTAATAATAATAACGATATAAGTATAATAATAGTAATATAAATAATAATAATAATAATAATAATAATAATAATAATAATAATTAGTATTATCATTGCTATTATTATTATACTATTATATTGTTATTATTAATATTAATAATAATAATAATAATAATTATTATTATTATTATTATTATTATTATTATTATTATTATTATTGCTGCTGTTGTTATCATTGTCATAATGATAATAATAATTATTATTGTTGTTTTTGTTGTTGTCATTGCTATTATTATTATTATTATTATTAATATTATCATTATTTTTTAGCTGTTGTCATTATTATTATTATTATTATTGTTGTTGTTGTTATCATTATTGTCATAATAATAATAATGATAATAATTAATAATAATAATTGTTATTATTATTATTATTATTATTATTATTATTATTATTATTATTATTATTATCGTTGATTTTGTTGTTGTTCTAAATGTTATCATTGCTTTTATTATTATTATTATTATTATTATTATTATTATTATTGTTATTATTATTATTATCCTTATTATGATTCCTAATTATTTAGCTAATGTTATCATTATTGTCATTATTATTATTATTGATGTTTTATTATTATTATTCTTATTATTATTAATTCTTTATTTTCATTTCGTCTTAGTCCCTTTATTAATCTGGGGTCGCCACAATGGAATGACCCAGCGACC